CATTTATATATCACAGAGGGCTCACAGTCGATTCAAAATACCGCTTGTATGGTTCTTTGTCTGTAAGAGCATGAGTGCAATTATATATATGTATGCAGGTGTATGAATGTATGTATATGTATAGGTGAGCTTGTGTCTGTGTATATATGGTCATATAAGAGTATGTGTACATGTATATTCAGAGTGTGCATGATATTGTATACATGATGTGTGCATGTATTATTTCATTTTGTATATTTTATATAAACATAAAATGCATTATTGATAACATGCATTTGCGGTCTGAAAGATGAGTGCTTCAAAGGGCTGAATGTAACACGGGCCTGCATGCCCAATTTGTAACCCCCTGAAAACAAAGTTTGTTAGTTCATTTGTTCTTTTATTCTGTTATATCCTCTGCAGTCCTTTAGATATCATGTGTGGAATCATATCCAGCACTTCAGGCCCCTTTCTCACAGAGCATGTTGAGAAAGGTTGAGACAGGCGTGCTCCATGTAGAGTGGCAAACACGCTTCAGAGGTCCTGGGTAGTTAGCGTCCTTTGGGTATTTTCTCCAGGTAATGCCGGTGTGTTGGGAAATCAGCAGGCAGATAGAACTAACCAGTTCTGCACCACTTGATGGTGAATTGATGTATGACAAGCTAGTTGTTGCGAGCCCTTTTGGAAGCAAGTGAACAGTGCGGAGGCACAAATAGATCATTACTGTCTGAGGAGAATGACTCTGCAAGGAGTTACCAGGGGATCCGGCCGACACTCAACATTCAGGGTTAGGTCAAGACGGATATACAATCAGACATTTACTGGTACCATCAGAATTGGAACTCTTTGCTTGCTTGTAAAGATGAGGACAGAGCGTTTATGGGAGTATCCTGTGCGCTGTGATGTCGATTCTCAATTCAGCATTTAACACTCAGACCTCTTTATCAATGTTCTTCATAGAGTTTCTTGCTTGTCCTTGCTTTAAGTCCTTTTATTTTCCATTACAATACCTCTTGTGTGATTCTTTGACTCATTGTTCAATATACCTCCATCTTCTGTTATAACTTGATACTAGCTCTTAAAACTGTTGTCCAGACATTTCCTGAATTCATTGCTCAAATATTTCTGCAGGCGCTTATTTCTGTACACATGAACTTTTCTTGTATGACTTTAGCAGTTCTCATGTTTCTATTGGCCAGTGCTAAAACTGAAATAATGTTGACAATCTGTAATTTTGGTTGTCTTCTTTTTCATTCACCTTTAAATGGATGGTGGCACATTGTGTTGTGGTTTAAAGCCGGCTGTAATATTTGAGATTTTTGACTCAGCAAATCCTGTTTCAGCAAATCCTTAATTAATCGTCTTTTGCAACATACTTGCTAAGGGGTAATAGGTCTGTTCCCCCTCCCCCCCCCCCCCCCCCCCCCAACCACCACCACCACCCTTCCTTTCCCCCTTTCCTCAACTTGGGCCGCAGAACCCACTTGCAAATATCTTGGTTTTAAAACTGTACAATTTAAAGTTCAATGTTTTGTCCAGGCTTTTTATAAGCTGATTCTACCTTGCCGTTGCAAATTATAATTTTCTTATATTTCCTTTATTACTTTAATATTCAGCCCAGCCAAAAGCTCAAACAGCATTCAAACCACTTCCTGCAGTCCCAGTTCTTCCAGTCACAGAAAAAGCCAGTATCCCCAGAGAAGTAAGCTTTTGTTTTGCTGTTTTTCTTCTGCATATTTTTTAGTGGAATGAAAAAGCAGTCTGCTTTGCGGAAAAAAAACTGGTAATTGGGTAATTCTGTGATCCTTTGGGCTTTCTAAAATCTTTGTAATGTATTACTTTTTTTTGTGTAGCCTTTGTAGTGTGTCTTTCTGTCATCACTGTAATGTCGTAGAATGTCTGTGATCTTTGTATTACAGTCTTTCTGTAATCTTTCCTGTGTAATCTTTTGTAAGTTTAAAATCGTGTCCATGTGGGAAGCAATTTTTATTATTTTGAAGCCCCACCCCAGCTTTTGCCGGGGGCCGCAATATAGCCTGAAGGCTGAACACAGTTCCTGGGACCTCTCTACGGGTGATCCTCATCCACATGGTGGCACTTTGTGTTGTGTCACTGGGTGTTTATTGTTCTGCGTGAGTCAGGTAAAATTCACATACATACATACTTTGTAAGTCTTTACTGTGAAGACATTCTGTATTCTTTGCAGTAAAGTTCTTTTTGTAATCTGTGCAGTGTAATCTTGTTGTAATCTGTGCAGTGCAGTCTTTTTGTAATCATTGCAGTGCAGTCTTTTTGTAATCTTTGCAGTGTAATCTTGTTGTAATCTGTGCAGTGCAGTCTTTTTGTAATCATTGCAGTGCAGTCTTTTTGTAATCTTTGCAGTGTAATCTTGTTGTAATCTGTGCAGTGCAGTCTTTTTGTAATCTTTGCAGTGCAGTCTTTTTGTAATCTTCGCATTGCAGTATTTTTGTATTCTTTGCAGTGCAGTCTTTTTGTAATTATTTTATTGTGGACATTCTGTAATCTTTGCAATGCTGTTTATTTATAATCTTACAAATTTAGGCGAGGAGAGGAGTGGGTCAAAGTGTCTGATCATGTTTCAGACTTGTGTAGGGTTCTAATCACTTTGGGGTGTAAGTGCAGGGACTGGCCAGCTGGTGCTGCAGAATCAGAAGTTAAACAAATGATTCATGACAATTCCCGCCCAAGTGATGTGATTGTATATACAGATGGTTCTGTGTTAAGGGGCAGACAAAGTGAATAGGGGTTTATGGCAAAGGCGAATTGACGTTGCTAAGGGCAAAAAAGCCTGGCATATGATATCACAACGTCTAGTTTGAGAACGGAGGTGAAGGCAGTCACTGCTGCCTTCCGTTGGCTTGATAATCAGCTGTACACACATGTCGTCATTGTAACTGAATCACAGAGCATGCTGAGAAAGGTGGAGACAAGCATGCTCCATGCAGAGTGGCAAGCATCACTTCAGAGGTCCTGGGTATTTAGCATCCTTTGGATATTTTCTCCAGATTACGCCGGTGTGTTGGGAATTAAGCAGGCGGATAGACTGGCCGGTTCTGCACCACTTGGTGGTGAACTGATATATGACAAACTGGATGTTGTGAGAGCCCTTTGGGAGCGAGTGAACAGTGCCGAGGAACATATAGATCATTACGGTCTCAGGAAAATGGCACTGCGAGGAGTTACAAGGGGATCTGGCCGGCACTCGACACTCAGGGGAGGGGCGAGACAGATATACAACCAGACTGTTACTGGTACCATCAGAATTTCAACTCTTCACTTGCTGCTGAAGATGGGGGCGGAGCGCTTATGGGAGTGTCCCAAGTGCTGTGATGTCGATTCTTAATTCAACATTCAACATTTTATCATCTTTGCAGTGCAGTCTTTTTGTAATTTTTGTAGTGCTATTCTTTTTGTAATTTTTGCAGTGCGGTCTTTTTTTAATCTTTGCAGTGCAGTCTTTTTGTTACTATTGATCTGTAGAAATTCTGTAATATCTGTATTGTAGTCTTTCTGTAATAAATTAATCACTTATTTTAATATTTTTTCAGGACAAGAATAATAACAGCGGAAAAAAAATATGTAAGTTTTCTGGTTAAACCATCCAAATGACTATTTTTTTCAAAATTGTGGAATTTTACTTTTCTTCACTACATGAAAGTGTATTCATTTCTGCACATAGTAATGCAGGTCTTGTTGTAGAATTCAAATTGAAAGTCATTTAAATTAATTTTTCACAATGGCATAGTTAATGGTTTTTTACTCAATTATTTAGGCAAAATATTCATACTGTCATAACTCAGTTATTTATTAATCCTTTTTAATAATTGTTTCGCCCATTTGTTAGAAATTGTATAATAACTGGGATAACATAATCTGTGTAATCCATGTTAGAAGACATAGGCTAGAAATAGCCTGTTATTACATATATTGAAAGAGAACTAGTCAGGGCTAAGCTGAGGCATAGTGTTTCCACATTTTATAGATTTGATCAGACACGTGAAAGAGCAGCTGAAAAATTTAATAAAATGGATGAAAAGATAAAAAGACCAAGGTAAAGTGGAATACCCCGAGGATGACTCCAATGCAGCAGGGACTCATTAGGTAAAGGATTACTGTGAAAGCCAGCTTGATCGGTTATTTTTTAATGATTTTATCAAAATCGCTTTTTTCAACTTTTTTTTCACCACCTTGCATACAATATCACAAATAATTATAAATAAATTGTCTTCATACTTGGCACACACATAGGAAATGATAAGTTAATTGGAATGAACTAAAATAAATACAACAGCCTGAATATTGTTTGCATTTTTGTCATATATGGTAACCCTTAACCCTAATTTTGTTTGGAAAATAGTATTGTACCACATAAGGGAACATAACTTTTAAACCGTTGCTTTAAGCGAATAGTATTTAGCACAATCAATTTAAAATATAATGCTAAATATGTGTGACAATTTTCATTAAACTATCTCTATTAGTTTTTGAAATAAATTAGCAAATGTTGAGTACAAATTTGACTATTTTCCACATAAAATATGACATTTTCTGTCAATATCCGTGAAAATATGTTGATTTTGGCCCCAAAATTAATTTTCCTTTAATCTTCAACTATTATGTACCTTCAGAAAGCATTGTTTCTAACAGATTTGATCAAACTCCATTTGGGGATTTAATCTGTCCTTTATCTTCTACTTATGATTCAACTTTAACAGGCATTTGGCACGTTGTGTTCTGGTTTAACTATTGATGTTTTCAGTATTGTATCTGTTACAATAATAATATTATTTGTGTTTTTAACAGATAACTAGTCTTTGTTAAAGTTTGATTTCTCATTGTTTCTTGTGATGTCCTGAGTGAATGCTTGTAGTTTTGAATGCAGACAAAGTGTATAATAATTGCTAATTAATATTTCAGTGCCTGATACTAACAGACCTAAACCACCTCCAAATAAACCAAGTACAGGGGGCCCAGATAAACCTTCAGTTAAGCCTAAACCTATGAATCTCTCTGATCCAAGCCTTCCAAAATTACCACCACGACCCGGAGAGAGATCTTTGAAACCTCAAGATTCAAAAAGCAACTTGAATGATAGTAAAAATTTGGGCTCCGTATCTTCAGAATCGAACACCCACCTACAAGATACTAAGGTACATCCAGATGCATCTGGCCAGCATTTGAACAAGAAATCAAGGGTTCTGGTTTTTCCCGTCATGCATGCAGACATAAAGGTTTTTGTTTGGCTTTATTTACTCAGAAAGAATGCTTGCTAAATGTTTATACTGTAGATATAACTCTCTGGGATTTGAAGTCTTTCAGTTTTTGTCAAGCAGTTTAACTGCTAGAAATGCTTTGAATGGTTTATATGCAGCTTCATTTAATTTACTAAAATTCAAGGTTTCTTCAGTTTACATCACATGCTTCTTATTTAACTCTTTAATTACCAAGCAACTCACTTTGGGAAAGAACTTAGCAAGTTCCAGTAAACCAGAGGTGAAGAAAATACACTGACATTGGGCACACACACTGAGAAAACCTGAGAACAATATAATTAGAATGTATTTACACTGGAACCCACAGGGGCATAGAAATAAAGGCAGACAAAAAAAAAAAAAACATGAAGAAGGGAACTGGAAAATGAGGTTAAAAAGAAAGCGAGGACATTGGGTGATCTGCATGCACTAGCGAAGGATAGAATGACTTGGTATGAGTTGGTTGAGGGCTATGCTCCATTGGGAGATGTGAGGCAGAAAAAAAATACAGGGTTGAGATTTCTCAGCTCTTTCAATTTTTTCTTCTGTTATGATAGCCCTGTCACCCCGAGAAGTCAAAATCTGGTTACTTGTGGTTGTGACACATCCCCCAAAAATCTGCATTTCTACAGAGACCTTTTCTTGAAAAGCATAGTTAGATGCCATTTGTTCTAACTGTACCTCCACAGCATTTACAGATATAAATATATCTGCTAACAATAGCATTTAGAGGAAATTTCTTATGAATGAAACAGCTTTTTTAAAATCAGATTTCAAAATTTACCGTAGCCTCACTGATAGAGGTCGTGTGATCATGGCATGGGTCATGAATATATATATTTTAGTCCTGTGGAATGTATTCCATTTAACACTTCACATGTTTCTTTTAACACTTGACTCCATTCATGTTTATTAATTACTTCTTTTTTATATATTTAAATATTTGGAAACAGAGTTAAGAAAAAAATGAATACTGATCTCTGTAAATTGATATTTGGGGATTTTTTCCTGGAATTCTTATTGGTTCATAAAACCCTTTTGTAAGCTTTCCTAGCATGAATAGGTTAACCAGTTCTGTCTCATTTGTTTCTTTTGACTCTGTATGTCCTGTAGTTGTATTACCTGAGCTTATAAAGACTGAAATATTATTACTCCTTATCAGGGAAAGCCATTGGGCCCATTTGCAGTTAAGTTGGAAACTTTACTGATAGACTGAAAGCTTGAAGGTTGGAAAGTGTTAACGTGACAAAGGGTTGGAACTGAAGTAGTTAACATTTTTTTTGTAAATGCGTTTCGAAAATAATACTTCTTTAATACTAACTAATTATCAAGTTTTGCTGCTTAAATTTACACTACTGTTATTTTAATCAAAATGTTTTCTTCTCAGATCACACTGCTTTTATTATTAATTATTAAATCAAGTTTTTCATTCATAATCTGTTTGAATCATCATTAAATAAACTACTGGCATTATGAAGGCTAATAGCAGTGGTTGGGGCATATAGATAGAATAGCAGATGAGAGAAATAAAAACTGTATATACCATGTAGTTGAATGGTCATAGACCGCGAGGCAGACCAAGAAGATGGTGAAGACATCACATCCAGCAGACTTACAAACACCTAGAGTCACCAACTGAAAAGAGAGGGCCAATAGTGAGATGAATGGAGCAGTAAATCCCAAGGGCCTGGAATACTGAAGGAGAAGAAGAAGGATGGTATAAAGTCTGTAAACATGGAGCATCTCCCTGTCAGGCAGCAATATTTGCACTGGCAAAAATAACATACAGGCTAAAATTTACTGTGGGAAAATCCCACCTCTGGGGCCTCTTCCATCTTTTGTCTGCTTGGCTCAAGAACTTTATGAGCTCACATCAGGCTCATCTGCCATCTTCTTACTCATAAGCGTAAACTTCCCCGTATGGTTTCCGGGGTCCAGTTGTGGGGAACACTAGAATAGACCCACTGCCTGCCCAAAAGTATGTTGTACGAGTCGACTAATTGGGAGCTTCCTTCGAAGGCAGAGTACATTTGCCTGGAGGCAAGGAACCGACAGTCTGCATGCAAAATGAGTCAGACCAGTGAAATGGATGTACATGCAAAACTCAGGTTCTGGAACAGGACTAGAGTCCAGAAATGGATGAAGAACCAGAACTTTCCACCGGAGCTTACAGCCGGTGAACGTGAAGAAGAAGAAGAAAAGAAGATAAGCGTAAACTATTTGTGTGAGTGAATATTGAGTGGTCTTCATGACTAGGGATGGACAAACAAACAAGTTTAAAGTAGCAGTTGTTTCTCATCACTAACTTCCAGGTGCCTGACAGTTACATTTACTTTTTTATTGTTTCTTTAAAATAGAAAAACATGTTATTGATTCTGCATGTTAAGCTTCTACAATATGCTTATTTGAATTTTTTTGAACTTGTTCACTGTAGACACACAGTTGACCTTGAAGAGCGATGCTCGCATCCACGGTGCTGTTACATCAAACACGTGTCACGAAACACTTGCAAGCACATACAGTCTTTAATGTTGGTTTCGGCCTGTTTACTTTTACTGCTGTTAATTGTTATTGCTAGAATACCAAGTTATTTTTTTAAATTAATGCTTGAAATAAACAATCACTTCATTGAGAAAACAAAATTTATGATTCATCAAATCTTATATGTTATAGGTTTAACAGCATTGAAAGCTTTTAATACCATGCCAGGAAATAAATTAAATTAAATATAATTAGATCATATGTTTCTTTTTGAAATATACAGATGTGTGTCATGGGTCATTACACAATCACTAAAGAAAATTGGGGCTTTTAAAATTTAATTTACCTGAAAATGAAAATAAAGTAGATGAAGACGAAGGGAAATAAGGACATTGTACAAAGTTTGAACATAAAAAAAACTGGCTTATAAACAGCATCTAATTTTGGAAACTGAAATACTTCCTGGCAGTTTTGATTCTGTTTGCAGATCAGAGTTTTCACTATTCCAAGTAATATTCAATTTCTCTACTTGAGCATGCTGTAATATTCTTCTTCTTCTTCGCGTTCACCAGCTGTACACTCTGGTGGAAAGTTCTGGTTGTTCGTCCACTTCTCAACTGCAGTCCTGCTCCAGAACCTGAGTGTTGCGTGTGCATCAGTTTTACAGATCTGATTCACTTGAACCAGACTGTTGGTTCCTTGCCTCTCAGGTAGATGCATTCTGACTTCAAAGGAAGCTCCCCAATTAGTCGACTCTTACGACATGCTTTTGAGTAGGCAGAGGGTCTTTTCTTGTTTTCCCCACAATGGCGCCCTGGAACCAACACGGGGAGCTGTAATATTGATTTAGAAATGAGCAGCCGGGTAATTTGTTTCATAGATCCCAGCGTGAGCTCTATAGTTCCGAGGGGTGGGAGTAGGCCCACTGCCCCCTAATCAAGCATGGCATAAAAGGCGACTAATTATGGGTTTGCTGACATCAGATTGTTGGGCCAAGGAGTACAGATATCACAGCCTAGCTGCAAACCACAACACAGTGTGCCAGCTGCCCTTTTAATGCAGAAGAAAAAAAAAAGAAAAAAAAATGTAAATAAAACCCATAAATGTTATTGCACGAAGCCAACAGGTTAACCACTTCACCAAAAAAAAGAACCCCTCTGCCTCCAGTTTTGTAAAAGTATTTTGTTTTTAAATTTTAAAAATTAAAAATTAAAATAAAATGTTAATTAAAAAAAAACTGCCATCTCTGGTTTGGTTGCAATGAATCCACTGCCGACTGTGGGAATACACTATGTATTATATGGTGAAAAAATCATTATAAGTTATTTTTGTTAATTATTAGGACTTAATTACAAATGGCATTTTTCTCTTCTGTAAATCAAAAAGAAAACAGCATTTCAAGCTAGAGCAGAAAAATTTGAGGCTGTCATAGGCAAGAAAGTGGCTGATGAGCAGAAAGCCCAAGATTCAGCAATATATGACGATGGTGCATCTGAAGTAAGAGCAAGCTTACACATAGTACTCTTGTCATCTTCAATTTCCATTTTTGGGGTTAAGCATCATCATTTCATCTCATCTCGTCTTGATCCTCTGGTACTGTGTGGTGAAGTATAATTTATGGGAAAGTATCCATTAGTGCCTTTCTTTCATGGGGATTTCCAGTGACTCTGTTATTTCCTCTGTCCATCATTTGCATGTTTGGCCTCTTTTTTGCTTTCTGCTTGGTCTGTACATCATTACTTGCTATGGCGTACTGTTTGCTGACATCTGCATTACATGGCCAAACCATTTCACTTGTTGTCTTCTAACGAAATCCAGAGCTGTTGCTACTCCCGTTATCCTTCGGATTTCATCATTCCTGATCTCATCTCTTATTGTTATATTGAAGGCTCTTTGTAGGAATCTTATTTAGATTGTTGTAATTTTTCTTTGCTCTTGTTCTGTCATTGTCCAGACCTGGCACAAGTTGCACAGGATTGGCAAGAAGATTATGTCATAAAGTGGGGTTAAGCATCATGGAGAGGAAATGTTTGTGGTCCAGTGCTCAATGGGAAGCACTGGCAATTCTTTAGAGATACAAATCTTTCTTTTCTTGGGCATCTTTCTGCTCTCTCATCAGATGTTTTTAGATGTACTGCCTGTGTTGGTAGTCAGTGCAGCTGCCTTTATGGGAGATGGCTGGAATTATCTTTTACTTTTCACTGAATGTAGTGCAAGGTGTTGATCCCACCCTCTGTCTGAAAGTGCCATTCCTCACTCAGTTTTGGATGGTTGGCAGCTTTCATCAGGCTCTGATCTGACAAGTGTTAATTTTATTGAAGTGAGCATTTGATAGTGTCCGGGTTTGGTGCTGGTAGCACAGTGTTACATAGTATGCTATATGATATTTACTGATTTCTTCCGTTCTTTTTCTCATAGTCCATGTTGTGTGGCATTTATTCTTATATCTGTCCATAGCCTTCTTTCGTGTGTACTGCCAGTCATTTTAGTATCCAGCTTTTCCCTTCTCTGAACATGTCTAAAGCATGTGGACTTTCATCTGCTGATAAGGATAATCAATCAGTTCTGTTTGTGAATTAATTAATTTCAGAGCATCTCTTCCTAAATAATAAACAGGAATGCTGTCTTTTGAACTGTTTTATTTGCTTATTTCTATAGTTAACAGGAATCTGTTGAATATGCTTAAAGAATTATAACCTTGTTTGTTGATTCCTAGTAAAAAAAAAATTTTAAAAAAAACTTTGTTTACAAATGATTGCTCTTTGTTAACATTTTGCACCTTCATTTTATTCCTGTTCATTTTATTTCAGTGGCTTCATTTCTTCGGAACTTCATTTTATCTTGCAGTGTTTTGTTTTATCACTTATAGAAACAGAAAGCTTTAGACTCACTCACTTAAAGCTGACCTATTCTTGTGACCTCTTGAAACACCTCCTTGTCTTTACTATAATATTATTCATTTTTCCAATTATCTCCATTTGTATTAGGTGTTCCTCTTGTTTGTTTTGTCCACTGATTTCAATCAATAGGATTTAAAAAAAAATAATACTGTTACCAGGTTATCTCAGTTCGTGTCCTTGTCCTGCACTAGCATCTTCTCACCACCTGGATTCGCTGTTGTTTGTTTAGTTCTTTCTTTATGTGGTACATTATTGGGGAAAGGGAAGGGTTGTCAATTCTGCACAGACACCAGTGTTAGTAGTCAGTAATTGTTTTAGTTATTCTCCGTAATGTCTGATCCATAAAGCAATGTTACATTAAATACAGTATTAGACAGCTTCCTGGGAATCCCTAAATGGGGCAACCCGTAATTAGTGGAAGGGTCAGTATACGGATGTGAGGTTAAGCCGTCATGTGAAGGATGTGGCGGGGAAGCCCAGCACAAGAACACCATAAATTGGCTCTGCATTATGGAAACCTCCTTGGATAGCGGGAATGCCCATTCACTGCCCTGCCTTCCCATGAAGGTTGACCAAGCTGTCCTGGAAGGGTCCTCTAGGGACAACACCTGTGGTTCAGGAGATAACAGTCACCACATATGTGAGGCTACAAAACTAATCATGAAACTAACTGGGAAGGCTAACCCAGATAATAAATTCTCCAAAAAATGTTGGCTGTGTCCTCCCAGAGGCGCAAATACCATAGCTTTAGGCACAGCACATTAACGTAACTCGGATGAACAATGAAGAAAAAAGTGTTACATACTTGCTTTTATAAATGTTAGAATTGAAAAGGTGGTCTGTTATTTTCATTTGTGTAAAGAGAATAGGGATAAAGTGCTTGCGTGCTGACTTGAGATTACAGACTCTCAGTTTGGATAGTGGACCATCATCAACATCATCATGCCAACTGGCATGGGCGATCATTCCTCTCCACAATCTGCAATCTCCTGCAGCATGTATCAGTTTGTGTGCTGACACACCTCCATGCCATGCAACAAGACTGTCAAGAATCTTCTCTCGTTGTCTTCCTTTATCCCTCCTTCCACAGATCTTTCCAGGGTCACATGTTCCTTTTTCCCTCTTCTCATAACATGGTCGAAAAATGATGACTGTCTCCTTCTGATGTCTGTGATTAGTTGTCTTCGGGCTCCCGCCTCTTTTAAAACCTCTTGGTTGCTCTTTTTGGCTGTCCAAGGTATTTTGAGTATTCTTCTGTAAAAACCACATCTCTGAGGCCTCAAGAAATTGTTTGGCCTGCCTACCAGTTGTCCAGGACTCACATCCATGTGTCAAAACTGGATGTATGTAGCAAGCAAGAATTCTTGTTCAAACCCTCAATGACAAAGATTTATGGTGGACCAACAGGGCAAATTTCTGATACCCTATTCAACCTTTATATATATGTATATATATATATATATATATATATATATATATATATATATAATATATATATAATACATGTGTGTGCAGGCAGACAGGAAACTGCGTAGGTGCCTCCTTCCTCCCCCCTCCCCCTATTATCTGTATGGAATGTTAACAAATGTTGCACAATTAAAATGTAAAATTGTTTCCTTTCTCACAGATGCTCTCCAGCTTTGACTGGTTTCATGGAGAACTTGACCGAGAAGAAGGTGCACAAAGAGTGAAAAAATTATATGAAGTATGTACTTTTGTTTAGTGTTTTAAGGTTTATATCTCATGTTTGTGCTCTGCTTGTTGTTGCGGTCTCCATCTAACGGGCCATTTTGCTGATGATTTTTTTTATCAGACACACACAAAAGCTTGAGTGTGTATTTATGAGATAGTCTGCAGAGTTTGTGTTTGCTGTCAGATATAGTATATAGAATATTTTTGTTTGCTATTTCTCTGTCACCACATCCTGTTGCTGTCATAAACTTTTCTGTTACATCCATGTACAGACTAAACAGTTTAAAACATTAACTGTTGTCTGCGCAAAACAGCATTAATTGGTATGTTAGTGAAGTAAAGGTCCCTTTTCCAAGCCTTTAGGCGTATAGGGCATACAGGGCTAGACTTAGATTTTTATAGACCAATCGGCACAAGATGGGTGATGTGGTCAGCATCACGCTGGCCACCTTTACTTCCCAGGACTGCACCCAGTACTCACTCAAGGCTGGGTCGACCTGGGAGTTGAGGTTATTTTTGAAAATTAGTCTGGCTCGGCCAGGGAGCAAACCCACGACCTTCCCTATCCGCACTCAAGCATTTAGCCACTACGCCACAGCGACTCCTAATTGGTATGTTAGAAACACTTAAATGTAACTTTGAGAGAAGGCTGTACACCAGGGATTTTCAACTGGTGGCCCGCGGGCCAAATCTGGCCTGCCGAGGCCTAGTAAGTGGCCCGCTGATCATTGCCAAAATAGTGAAATGTAGTTATTAAAAAGAAAGAAAAAAATTTTATTGATCAAAGTTTCTGTATAAATCCTAAAAAGTCAGTTGTGTTGAATGTGTTAGTAGGAATTGTTTGTCAGGGATCTGTAAATGTGAAGGTACAAGGGAACTGGCATAGTAAAAAAAAGGTAATTAGTTCAGGGTAAAAGTTCATTTCCAGTTTGTTTAAATAGCAAAACTTGCCTGTTTGAAGCCAAAGGTAATAAGATAGGCTGGAAAGAATCAAATAACGGGTTGGAAAGCCACCACTGCACTGAACATTCAATGAGGGTGAAATATTTATTGGACAGGAGGGCGATGGAAAAACCAGCACAGTACTGACAGTTAGAGCTTATATTACAGAGAAGCTCTCCTTAATGATGGCCACTAGTACACACAAATTGATGACACTGGATGCAGCAGAACATCAGTGACACTGGAAACCTCAGAATACCTGCTAGTGATCTTGTTATCAGATTAAAAATAAGATTTTTCGGGACTGTCAAGTCACAGTCAGAAGTAGACTGCGGACACGATTGTGTAGTAACAAACTGAATCAGTAACAGTATTTAAAATTATCTGCTTTTAATAATTTAGTTAAATACTTAATGTTGTGGCTAGCACTGATGAGAAAGCAAAGTGGGATTGTGAAAATTGTGCATTTAACAATGACCGACTGGACACTGTAATATTTTTTTATATCACCGACTATGCCTAGTTCAAAACCAGTATGCTTGTTGTTTTATTTCTTCAGCACTGGACTCGCAACCTTAACTGATCGAATGATATTAATTATTTTTTAAATCTTCACAATAATTTCAACAACAGATTTGACGACTTCAATGTCCCAGACAATATTATAATATTCGTTCGAGATCCTTTTAAAATCCCTCCAGCGGGTGATTTTTCTTCCAATGCTAAGAAGCTGTGATCCTCTGTTGATGAAGGTTCTCTGCAGTTAGAACTTGTGAATATTGAAAGTTCCAGCGCACTGAATGAAGTTTTCAAGTTTTGGTACGAAAGGATTCAACAGGAGCAGTTTCCTAATGCTAGAAAAGTTGTCGTATTAATACTCACCATATTTAGCTCAACTTTTACTTGTGAATCAAGCTTCTCACACATAAATGTCATAAAGACAAACAGTAGGAGCTCACTGAGCAATGAGAGGCTGCAGGACTGCATGAAAATTGCTCTGACTTCACACCAAATTTGGTAAAATTAGCTCAAAAACAAAAATGCAGCATTTCTTCTGCAGAATATGAAACAAACTATGGACAGTTATTAATACTATTATGACAGTGCAATTGAAATGACAGTGGTAACGTTTATTTATCATCCCAATGACAAGTTGGGAAAATGTGTATTTCAATTAAAAGTGATCCCCCGTGTGGGTTCCGAGGGCCCTATTGTGAGGAAACAAGAATAGACCCATTGCCTACCAAAAAAAATAATGTCACAAGAGTTGACTAATTGGGAACTTCTTTCGAAGTCAGAGTACATCTGCTTGAGAGCCAAGGAACCAACAGTCTGCATACAAATGAGTTAGACACGTAAAACGTATGTGTACGCGACATTCAGATTCTGGAACAGGACTAAAGTCCAGATGTGGACGATCAACCAGAACCTTCTTTCCGAGTTTAAAGACGGTGAATACGAAGAAGAAGAAGAATTAAAAGTGAGTATTAATTAATCATTACAGAAGATTGTAGTACACTCTACCTAGGCGTAATAGTTTTTGAGTGAATTGAATCTAGGCATTGACAATTTTGTCAATTGAAGTGTAGGCTCAGGCCGCTGTTCAAGATTTTGGCCGGGGAGCAAAGTTAGTTGAATAGCCCTGCTGTACAAAATCCAGTCTTTCAAGATGTTGTTACTGGACAGGTCACTCACTGAGAAGAAATAAAGAGTCAACATCAAGACCCACCCACCCTGGACTACAGGTTACTTTGTAGCCGTTTTCTGGTGCCTCGGTTTAACTGTCCTATATGGCTTACTGTTGAACTAGGTTTCCAGCATTTGTACCTGTTTGATTCTCATCCTTGAGATGGTAATCCTACAGACTGCAATCCTGGAGGAAGACAATTTGAAGAAAAAGTGGCAAGGAAGGGAACTGGCTTACCCACCTTATAGGGCATAGCCAAAAAGCAGTATCTAGTATGGGACTATATTTACCTTTTACATCCATATAAAAAAAAAAAAAGTAAAGGACCCTTTCCACACCTTCAGGCGTATAGGGCATATAGGGCTAGACCTATATTTTTATAGACCAACGGCACAAGATGGCTGATGTGGTCAGCATCACGCCGACCGCCCGTACTTCCCGGGACTGCACCCGGTACCCACTCAAAGCTGGGTTGACCTGGGAGCCAAGGTCATTTTTGAAGAAAAGTACTGCTCCTTTACATCCATATAATAAAGATAAATAGATGACAAAAGAAAAAAAGAAAAAAAAAATATATATATATGTATATATATATATATATATATATATATATATATGTTAAGTACACTGACTTCAGTTTTGTCAAAATGTGAAAAATTGAAGTTTAAAAAATACTGCAAGAAAAACATTAAAAGAAAAACCACTGACAATGTCCAAGAAATGACTACATCAGGCATGCAAGAACTGTGGAGTTCAGACTTACTTAACTGGCTTACAAAAGAATCACTGAGGTCTTTTTCGCGTTCACCGGCTGTAAACTCTGGCTCTAGCGGAAAGTTATGGTTGTTTATCCACCTCTGGACATAGACTAGTTTCAGAACCTAAGTGTTGCATGCATGTCCGTTTGACAGATTTGACTTATTTGTATGCAGATGGTTGGTTCCTTGCCTCTCAGGCAGGTGCACTCTGACTTCAACCCCAAGTTAGTCGACTCTTACGACATGCTTGTTGGAGAGGCAGTGGGTCTGTTCTTGTTTACCCCATAGCGGGGCCCCAGAACCCACAGGGGGAACATTGAGGTTGAGTAAGGGGGACAAGAAGTAGTCTATAAATGATTGCCTTTTGCACGAGGAGACACAGATTAATAACTTCATGTAGCAGCTATCACTGATGAAAGCCACACACCAATACATTAACAAGAAGTGTCATGGCAGAGGAAGAAACAAAAGCATCATAACCCACTAGCTTCTGACCATGTTCTTTAATAACTTCTGAGGTAGATGGAGCTCAGTTGTTCATGCACCTATTGTTGTGACAGTACTGGATCTCAGGTGAAGGGTATTGCTGGAAACAGTAAAGTGACATAATAGGCGGCCTCATAATGCCCATCCTGCTGTGCCGCTTATATATTACTTAGGTAAAAGTCAAGTAAAGGACCCTTTTCCAGGCCTTCAGGTGTATTGGGCATATAGGGCTGGACGTATATTTTATAGACCAGTGGGCACTGGGTGGGTGATGTGGTCAGCATAACGCCAGCCGTCTTTACTTCCCAAGACTGTATCTTGTACCACGTCACGGCTGGGTTGACCTGAGAGCCAAGGTCATTTTTGACAAAAGTTCATCTCCTCTGGGACAGGAACCCACGACCTTCCGATCAGCAGGCAAGCAACTAGCTGCTATATTACAGCAGTAATTATACATTGTATAGAGCCTGCGGTATATACCAGGTCATTTGCAGAATGTCGCTCTCATCATAGCTGGACTGAAAGAAACTTGGTCTCTCGCCAGCTCTCATCATGGCTGGACTGAAAGAAACTTGGTCTCTCGCCAGCTCTCATCATGGCTGGACTGAAAGAAACTTGGTCTCTCGCCAGCTCTCATCATGGCTGGACTGAAAGAAACTTGGTCTCTCGCCAGCTCTCATCATGGCTGGATTGAAAGAAACTTGGTCTCTCGCCAGCTCTCATCATGGCTGGACTGAAAGAAACTTGGTCTCTCCCAGCTCTCATCATAGCTGGACTGAAAGAAACTCGGTCTGTCACCAGCTGTCATCATAGCTGGACTGAAAGAAACTCGATCTCTCACCAGCTGTCATCATAGCTGGACTGAAAGAAACTCGGTCTCTCACCAGCTGTCATCATAGCTGGACTGAAAGAAACTCGGTCTCTCACCAGCTGTCGTCATAGCTGGACTGAAAGAAACTCGGTCTCTCACCAGCTCTCATTATGGCTGGACTGAAAGAAACTTGGTCTTTTACCAGCTGTCATCATAGCTGGACTGAAAGAAACTCAGTCTCTCACCAGCTGTCATCATAGCTGGACTGAAAGAAACTTGGTCTCTCGCCAGCTCTCATCATAGCTGGACTGAAAGAAACTCGGTCTCTCATTAGCTGTCATCATAGAAAGAAACTCGGTCTCTCACCAGCTCTCATCATAGCTGGACTGAAAGAAACTTGGTCTCTTGTCAGCTCTCATCATAGCTGGACTGAAACAAACTCAGTCTCTTACCAGCCTTCATCACAGCTGGACTGAAAGAAACTTGGTCTCTCGCCAGCTCTCATTATAGCTGGACTGAAAGAAACTTGGTCTCTCACTAGCTGTCATCATAGAAAGAAACTCGGTCTCTCACCAGCTCTCATCATAGCTGGACTGAAAGAAACTTGGTCTCTTGTCAGCTCTTATCATAGCTGGACTGAAACAAACTCAGTCTCTCACCAGCCTTCATCACAGCTGGACTGAAACAAACTCGGTCTCTCGCCAGCTCTTATCACAGGTCGACTGAAACAATCTCGATCTCTCGCGAGCTGTCGTCATAGCTGGACTGAAAGAAACTCGGTCTCTCACCAGCTCTCATCATAGCTGGACTGAAAGAAACTTGGTCTCTTGTCAGCTCTTATCATAGCTGGACTGAAACAAACTCAGTCTCTTACCAGCCTTCATCACAGCTGGACTGAAACAAACTCAGTCTCTCGCCAGCTCTTATCACAGGTCGACTGAAACAATCTCGATCTCTCGCGAGCTGTCGTCATAGCTGGACTGAAAGAAACTTGATCTCTGGCCAGCTCTCATCATGGCTGGACTGAAAGAAACTTGGTCTTTCACCAGCTGTCATCATAGCTGGACTGAAAGAAACTCAGTCTCTCACCAGCTGTCATCATAGCTGGACTGAAAGAAACTTGGTCTCTCGCCAGCTCTCATCATAGCTGGACTGAAAGAAACTCGGTCTCTTGCCAGCTCTCATCACAGCTGGACTGAAACAAACTTGGTCTCTCGCCAGCTCTCCCGCCTTGTGCACTTTCATACCCATGATGTCACTTACATCCCGCCTATCTTCGTGCCGGTCAGCTCCTGCCCCTCTTTCCTGACACAGTGCCTTTTGCTGCTTTTATTTCCAATCCAAATATTGGAAATATTGGGCAAAGATTATCAGTTTCTGATACAAGATGCTGTTTACTAGCCAATCTTCTCTGATGTTTAGACCTTTTAGGATATCAGTATTTCTTCTTGGTCCATCATTTTCTGAGAATCTTTCTTAAGCATTTCAGTTCAAAAGCTCTCATTTTTTTCCTTAATGACTGTGAGATAGTCTATGACTCACATCTGTAGGTTGCTACATGGAAGATAACCGCCCTCAGAATTTTGCCTTTGATTTCGTCAGTTCTTAAGATCACCCCACTGTACATATTTAATTTGGACATATTACACCATTGTTTGCTGCGGTTCATACTGCGATGGAGTCGCCATAATTTTTAGACAGTTTTTTTGCACCCTATTTCATTTCAAAATGTCTCCCATTTGGTATGTTTAGCCTCACTTGCAGTTTGCATTGAATACACTACCACAGCTCCAAACACATATATATATATATATTTATATACAAATGCATTGCTTGTCTTTTTTTTCATTTTACTGTAAAATACACTTTAAAAAAGAAAAAAAGAAAAATGCTGAGGTGTGGGTGGAGAATGAAGGTAGTTAGGAATGATGTTTAAATCGTGAGTCATCCATGTTTCAGTAAAAATCTTTGTCTTCAGAATGGAGCATTCCTGATCCGTGCTAGCAAGTCAGATGGTTCAAATAATTCTCACCCGTATACTCTGGTAGTAACCTTGGATCAGAAAGTTTATAATTTAAAGATTAGACTACGCCATGACAGCCGCTTTGCTATTGGAACATACAAATCTGATGAAGTGGTAAGTTTGAAGTTCAGATTCATCATCATCATTATGAACATACTGATAGTTATAGTATAGGCGATTATGGTTCAGCATTGCACCTCGTACTCCAGTGCTGCATCTGAGAAGCTAACTTGTATGCATAGACTGCAGCTGATTTATTTCAAAGGAAGTTATTGTCAGTGGCCTGTATTACTGAAAATACTTGTTGATACCACCTGTTGACCATGAGCAACTAGACACTTGCCTGCTGGCTCAAAGGTCTTGAGTTCAAATCTGTACCTAACAGATTAGAAAGGAAATGTTGACCTCTGTTCCTGGGTTGAATGAGCCTAAAGTGGGTACAAGAAATGTTCTAGGGAATAAACACGCCCATGCGATATAGACCAGATCAGCTGTTGAATGCCATTTGTCTGACAAAAAATATGGTCTGACATCATTTGTCCAGTGCACCAGTGGCATAAAGAGTATTTATTTATTTATTCATTTATTTAAAAAAAATTTTTTTTTTTTTTACTTACTTGTTGATAATGACAGTAAATTATTTTAGAGAATTATTGCACAATTTCCAAGCATCCCTAATAATTTTATTAAAATGTGAAAGTAAAACATAATCTAACAAATCTTGAATTCTTAAATTTGTGAATTATTTTTCATACATTTTTATTTCTTTTTAGTCTTTTGCATCAGTGCCTGAATTGGTAGAACACCACAGGGAGAACAATATCAAGCTAGCTGAAGGTGGAACAGTGAAACTTCATCGTACTCCAAAGAAATAACTGTTCGACATGGAGTCTTCTAGAATTTGGAAATAATATTGCATTGTTTTCTTTACTGTTAGCAGCATGACACATCAGACTTCTGTGATTTATTTAAACAAAGATAAACCATTTGTTGTCCACCCTGTTTCATTTTTTTGCACACACAGGTGTAACTTTTATTGTTTTTTAACTTTCGATATGGGTGAGAAAGAAAAAAAAAAAGAATAGACTCCCTGCTCCAACAAGTATTTCATTAGAGGCGACTTCTTCTTCATGTCTTTCACCGGTTGTAAACTGCGGCAGAGAATGCTAGTTGTTCATCCACTTCTGGACTTTAGTCTTGTTGCAGAACTAGAGTTGCATGCACATCTGTTTTACAAATCTGGCTTCTTTGTATGCAGACTTTTGGTTCCTCACCTCTCAGGTGCATGCCCTCTGACTTCAAAGGAAAGGCCCCTGATTAATTTCCTTTTATGACATGCTTGTTATAGGGGCAGTTGGACTGTTCTGGTTTCCCCTGGAGCTACATCGGTATACAAGGTGACTAATTCAGGGTTTGCTCAGACTGGACTCAAAGAGTGATATTGCAGCCTAATTGTAAACCACAATACAAGGTGCCAGTCACCCTTTCGAGTGTGAGCTCAGAAGCAGTAGCAACAGCTTTGTAACTATTTACCTCATATCATATTCAGTGTGTAAAGTTGATTTCTCTAATATTTCAAGGCAACCAGATTTCATATTAACATATTTTGCTGCTGATCTTTGTGTAGCTTCATTAAATTCTTTATTTTGTTAACTGTATTTGGCATCACTTTATAGTTTCATTAAATTCTTTATTTTGTTAACTGTATTTGGCATAACTTTATAGTTTCATTAAATTCTTTATTTTGTTGATTGTACTTGGGAAATCTTTTCAAACCATTTGTCAATTTTAATTGCAGTATTCACCACAGCTGTTGTCATCTCTTTCTGTTCTGGGATCTCAAATGAGGGGGGGAAAAGAATAGACCCACTTGCAGACCCACTCGATGACCCTCAACAAGTCACTCATGAAAGGCAGTTAATTAAGGGTTGGCTGGAATCAGATGTGTTGGGCCAAAAGGTAAACCACAATACAGTGTGCCAGCTGCAATTTAAAAGGTAAACACAGAGGAAGAAGATCTCTTTCTGTTCTTAAATGAGATATGCCAGTCCTGGGAACTGCTGATGTGCTCATACTTTGTGGGTGTGGGTGGCTGTATGTGCTGTGATCATATTTTGTGGCTGGCAGTATCTGCTGTGCTCATACTTTGTTGGTGGCTGTATCTGCTGTGCTCATACTTTGTTGGTGGCTGTATCTGCTGTGCTCATATTTTGTTGGTGGCTGTATCTGCTGTGCTCATATTTTGTTGGTGGCTGTATCTGCTGTGCTCATACTTTGTTGGTGGCTGTATGTGCTGTGCTCATACTTTGTTGGTGGCTGTATGTGCTGTGCTCATACTTTGTTGGTGGCTGTATGTGCTGTGCTCATATTTTGTGGCTGGCAGTATGTGCTGTGCTCATATTTTGTTGGTGGCTGTATGTGCTGTGCTCATATTTTGTTGGTGGCTGTATGTGCTGTGCTCATATTTTGTGGCTGGCAGTATGTGCTGTGCTCATATTTTGTTGGTGGCTGTATGTGCTGTGCTCATATTTTGTTGGTGGCTGTATGTGCTGTGCTCATATTTTGTGGCTGGCAGTATGTGCTGTGCTCATATTTTGTGGCTGGCAGTATGTGCTGTGCTCATATTTTGTGGCTGGCAGTATGTGCTGTGCTCATATTTTGTTGGTGGCTGTATGTGCTGTGCTCATATTTTGTGGCTGGCAGTATGTGCTGTGCTCATATTTTGTGGCTGGCAGTATGTGCTGTGCTCATATTTTGTTGGTGGCTGTATCTGCTGTGCTCATATTTTGTTGGTGGCTGTATGTGCTGTGCTCATATTTTGTTGGTGGCTGTATATGCTGTGCTCATATTTTGTGGCTGGCAGTATCTGCTGTGCTCATATTTATGTGTTGCTGTATCTGCTGTTCTCATATTTTGTGGGTTGCTGTATCTGCCGTGTTTGTGAATGGCTGTATCTCTGGATCAGTGTACTCATGATTGCTGCTGCACTTGAACATCAGCAGCTCATGTTTTAGTCACAACATCATTGCTTTGGATCAGCTGGTGTGACAGAACTGGCAATGCTCACTGGTATTTCCCCAGGCTGTCTGTATATAAATAGTTTAGGACTGAATTTAGTCTATTAATGACAGAAACTGAGGACCGTGTTTCTAACCCTAGAAAAATTATCTCTCTGCTAGCACCGGTTTAGGCGATATTTCCTGGTTGCTTAGCAACTAGCTATCCTCACTGGACTCTCAGGAAAACAACATCAAATCAGCTTTTGTTGAGGGGTTCAGCATTGTAGCAACCAGTCAGGGCACAGCTGGGGTATTCACCCCGGCCACTGAGAACACAACCCTGGCCAGAGCCATGTTCCTGGCGTATGTGCAGAGCTCTGGTCGTGTGACAGCCACATGTATCCGGGGTGCCATTGTTTCAGTCATTTCATTTTCTGTGCCACTCGCGGATAGACGTATAGTCAGATTCAAGTAATTTTGTTTTAGATTGATAGAATTATATTTCATAAATTCATACTGGTATTATTCAGTGATTCTTGACATATATGAGGGCCCTGTGGCATTTTACTGACAACAACCACACCCGTACAACGATCATTTCACACAGTACTATCCCCATAAAAACAGCTAAATCCAATAGACATTTTAAGTAAGGTTCCATTTTTTTAATGGCCACGAGTCTCATCAGAACTCTGATCACTGAATGTATTGACAGTGAAATAAGAACATTGGGATTAAATCATCTGAAAGCTAATACGAGCAGTATTCACCAATCAACTTCAACAAAGGGGATTGCGAGAAATTGTCGCTACTAAAGCCACATGTTCCAGTTTCCTCACCATCGCATTGACATGCCAGAAATCTCCAAGGGTGAGCTGTATTCGAGCAGGAAAGAAACAGAACATATCTAACATTTTTTTCCCGTATGATGACACCTGTTGTGGTTTAAAATAATGCCGAAATAGCAAGTCAGTTATGTAATTAAAGTTTTCAAAGTATTCTTCACTCTAAACACCAATCTCTTCAGTGCGTAAATAAGAGGAATATTTGAGTGAGCGAGAAGGGGGCTTTCTGTCTAGGGGCTTTTTTATCAATTCAGTGGCAGAGGAGTTGCTACCAAGATAATTAGCTTGTCCTAGCAGCCCACTATTGTTGCAGGATATACTTATCTTCTTGTCCTCTGTCTCAGGAGTGAGGTTTCAGTTTTTCTGCCTATTGGGACTACCCTTGTAGACAGTGTAGTTTCACTACTTTTAACGAGCCACGTTCAGACTGACAATGATCTCCTGTTTAGGAACTCGACTCTACCTAGGGCTCTCCTATAGTTGTGACAGCTGCTATCTTTCAAACATTTGAGGCCAAAGTTAACATTGTAAACCTTCTGTTTGCTGTGATAGATCCATTGTCTTGTTTTATGCTAGTCACCATTTCATTACATTTCCATTTGTTTACTTTTGCTACTTTCAGTCATCATGTATCTGGAGTTTTTTTTAAAGTAATCATTAACAGGGCTTTTGTCTCTTTAAAAAATAAAACAAAAGTGCCGGTACTCACCACAAAGTGTCTGTTACAGTAAAACCTTTGATGACTCAGAAAAAAAAAATTGCAGATACTGTGAATTCACTGTTGACTGCCACCAAAAAAGAAGCATGTTCTTTACTTTATCTTTCTGTAATTAGTTTTTTTTTTTTTAATGTGAAAAAAACAAAAAAGTTGCTGTATTAAAAGGTATTTGAGCAAATAGACACTAGATCATGGGTTCTGAACCTGTGGGTCACGACCCTTCTGTGGGTCGAACGACCCTTTCACAGGGGTTGCCAAAGACCACTGGAAAACACATATTCACTGAAGTTGTTGAATTAGGAATCAACATCACAGCACTCAGGACACCCCCATAAGTGTTCCGTCCCCATCTTCAGTGGCAAGCGAAGAGTTAAAATTCCGATGGTACCAGTCACGGTCTGATTGTATATCCATCTCACCTTTCCCCTGAGTGGCAAGTGTCAGCCAGATACCCTTGTAACTCTTTCAGTGCCATTCTTCTCAGACTAATGATCTATCTGTGCCTCAGCACTGTTCACTTGCTCCAAAAGGGCCCTCTCAACAGGCACTCTCAACATCCACCTTGTCATTCATCAGTTCACCACCAAGTGGTGCAGAACCGACCAGTCTATCTGCCTGCTCATTTCCCAACACACCGGCATAACCTGGATAAAATATCCAAAGGATGCTAACTACTGAAGTTGTGAGAAAGCAACGCAAATAATTGTATGGTTTGGGGGTCACCACAACATGAGGAACTGTATCAAAGGGTCGCCACAACATGAGGAACTGTATCAAAGGGTCACAGCATTAGGAAGATTGAGAGCCTCTGCAGTAGACTGACTGTTCACTACTGCACTGTCATGATTGTTCACACAACCTGCCTGTACAGAGAGACAGAAAATAGCGTTGATCTGTCTTTTTATTTGTAAAAAGTGTCTGCCTGTAGGGTATTTTGTTTTAGAAATACCTCAAAGCACACAAGTTGGATTTACCTCTGATGCAGATGCTGCTTTTTGGGGGAAGTGGTGGGGGTGCAGGAGAATAGATTTACTGCCTTCCTAACAAGCATTTTGTCAAAGGCAACTAATTAGGGACTTTTCAAGTCAAAGCGCATCTGCCTGAGTGGCAAGGGACCAATAGTTTGCATGCATACAAATAAGCCAGGTCTGTAAAATGGATGTACATGCACAATTCAAGCTCCAGAACATGGCTAAAGTCCAGAAATGGATGAAAACCAGAACTTCCCACCAGAGTTTATAGTCGGTAAATGAAAAGAAAAAGAATATTTATTATTATTGTTTTTTTTGGTAACCTCCATTGTTGTTTGCAAT